AGCGTTGCCAGGACTGGCAGCAACAGCAGATGCGTCTGATGCTTAAGATTTTATTTCCTTGCCAATTGTGCTGTTTTAAGCATGCCTTTTATATTTGACTCCCTTTAGCAATGTTTTATTTTGAAACCTTTAAGTTTGGGGTTAGTTATGTTGCTTTCAATGTATACTTTATAGTGGGCTTTCTTCAGTAACGTTTTATTTGATATTTTAATGTGTTGTAAACAGCTTTGATATTTTTTCTTAAAAATATTCAGTGGCATAGAAAGGAAATTATTATTATTAATAATATTTAATAATGTTGCTTCTCTTCTGTGCCTCGAGAACATGTTCTGCTTGGCTACTGATAATCCAAGTGTTTTTCTCATGGCTCTGGGTGGTCATAGGCAACCATTTGAACATATATTTTATTACATCTGCTCCAATGTGTGGCAAATACATCGGTACCTCGGTTTTTTAACATCTCGGAAGTTGAACGTTTTGGTTTTCGAATGCCGAAAACCTGGAAGTAAATGTTTCCATTTTTGAATGCACCCCGGAAGTTGAATGGCTTCCACTGAATTTCCCTCCCCTTTTTTATCCATTAAATTTGCAGACTGCCCTTTGCGTCTTGGTTTTTGAATGTTTCAGAACTCGAACGGTCTTCCAGAATGGATTATACTTGAAAACCGAGGTCCCACTGTTCTTCTTATCACTTGGTGCAAAAACAAAGAATAACAAACCAAGCCATAAAATAAAAAATAAAATCTCAATCATCTGCATAGCGAATATCTTCATCTGCACTTGCCTCACAGCTTGATAAAGCTAACTTGGTTCATCTACACAACAGGACACCTGCAAACTAATTGGGCCATTGTACACACCTTATGTGGAAGTGAACAAGCACAGCAATTTCCTTCCTCATAGCAGGTTTTATCTTTTATGACATTACCATACCATTCACATTTCTCTTTCCTCCCTAGCCGGCATAAACAAATGTTGATGTTGTCTGCCACAACTGATGCATTAGCATGAACAATCATCATCGTTACCATCATTGTCATTCAGAGTGATGACAAACCATCAAGGTGCGTGTAGGCATCTCTCTCACATGCATATAATCAAAATGCTTATGTGAGGCCAGCAATTCAATTCACTCTGATAGTCTCCCAAGGAGCTCTTACAGCTACATTTAAAGCTAACCAACCTTGGCCAGACAGCCCCTTGCTACTAAAACAGATAGAAAGAAGTAATGAGCCAATCAGGTACATTGCATAAATGCCCTTGGGAGGTTTGTGGGCTTCTAATTGTTCTCTATGAAGGGCCACCCTCATCACCCCTTTCACCATCAGGAAAGCAAGAAAACCTGAGAGCAGGCAGGATTAAATTCCAGAACTGCTTTCTTCAGGAAGACCAGGAACGTCACTTCCCTCCCTGTTGCTACTCACTACTATGCAGCAAGCAGAAAATACTGATTTGGTTAGTCTAGCTCTCTTTTGTCTGCTGGCAGCTACTCTCTAAGGCAGGGGTCAGCAAACTAAGGCCAAGGGGCCAGATGCCGCCCCCCAGGCTCGTAAATCTGGCCCGCAGACCCTGCCGCCCACTCCGTCCCCGCAAGCTGCGGACGGCTCACCACATGGGGACTGATTTCCACAACGCTGGCACGGCTTCTGGGCAGGTGGTGTCGCTGGCACAGCTTCGGATTGGCTGCAGGAAGTTCCTGGGGCCAATCTGAAGCCTCATCACCCACAGCTGAGGTAAACCCAGTGCGGCCATGGATGGAGAGGCTGGCGGGCTGGAGAGCGATGGGTCTGGGCCATGCTGTGGGCATTGTGACGGGTGCATCGTGGGGCTTCAGCTGGAGTTTAGCACGCCTGATAGCCCCGCACCTGGCACCCTGCTCGGCACTGCTGCTGGTGGCACGCTCAGTGGCCGTGCTGGAGCAGCTGGAGGGCGAGCTGTGTGTACATGGCTTGCCCGCCAACCTGGCCTCAGACGATGGCCCACAGCGCCTGGTGAATGTCACCTGGGAGCTCCGCAGGGACGGGCCGATGGAGCGGCTGCTGCTTGTCAACAATGCTGGTGAGCGGACGTGCCGAGACACACTCTTGAGTGTGTGCAGAGTGCATTCCTCCTTCAGGTCTGGAGGCAGCTGCGGGACTGGCTACAGGGTACTTATATTTATAAAAACATAGTCCAGCCCCCACAAGGTCTGAGGGACAGTGGACCGGCCCCCTGATGACAAAGTTTGCTGACCCCTGCTCTAAGGTGTGACTGCTTCCCCCCTGTTCTGCTACCTACAGCCCTTTGAAGTAGAGATGCCAGGAATCAAGGGGCATTAAGCAGAGGGGAGAAGGAGAGAGCATGATATTTTCCCCCACATCAGCATGGAGATGCAGTGGTGACAACAGCTTCTCATGTTCTGCCTGCTCTGTAGTTGCAACAAAACATGGGATCCTTGCCAGTAAAGGAATATAATCAATAAACACACAAAACATAACCGACTGTACTTTTCAATAAATAAGGTATTCATTGCATCAATGGGACGCGGGTGGCGCTGTGGGTAAAACCTCAGCGCCTAGGACTTGCTGATTGCATGGTTGGCGGTTCGAATCCCCGCGGCGGGGTGCACTCCCGTCGTTCAGTCCCAGCGCCTGCCAACCTAGCAGTTCGAAAGCACCCCCGGGTGCAAGTAGATAAATAGGGACCGCTTACTAGCGGGAAGGTAAACGGCGTTCCGTGTGCTGCGCTGGCTCGCCAGATGCAGCTTGTCACGCTGGCCACGTGACCCGGAAGTGTCTGCGGACAGCGCTGGCTCCCGGCCTATAGAGTGAGATGAGCACACAACCCTAGAGTCTGGCAAGACTGGCCCATACAGGCAGGGGTACCTTTACCTTTTATTCATTGCATCAATTTGTAGATTTCAACTGAAGTCTGATAAAGTTCAATGAAAAAAGCAGAAGACCCAGTGGATCAGTTCATTCTCTAGTCAGTTCATGGATAAGGTCCATACATGTATAATGTATAATGCAAATAAATACAATATCATAATCTCACACATTTTTACAGCAAAATTAATGTAGAAAACCATAAACAACTGCACATACCATATGTAATATTACAGGACATAATCCTGCTTTGTAACAGTCGCTGCTTACTGCAACCACTACTATGTTATAAGATCCACTATCCTGTAATATTACATCTGGTATGTGCATTAGGTAAAAGGTAAAAGGTAAAGGTACCCTAACGGGACGCGGGTGGCGCTGTGGGTAAAAAGCCTCAGCGCCTAGGGTTTGCCGATCGAAAGGTCGGCGGTTCGAATCCCCGCGGCGGGGTGCGCTCCCGTCGTTCGGTCCCAGCGCCTGCCAACCTAGCAGTTCGAAAGCACCCCCAGGTGCAAGTAGATAAATAGGGACCGCTTACTGGCGGGAAGGTAAACGGTGTTTCCGTGTGCTGCGCTGGCTCGCCAGATGCAGCTTTGTCACGCTGGCCACGTGACCCGGAAGTGTCTCCGGACAGCGCTGGCCCCTGGCCTCTTAAGTGAGATGGGCTGGCCACGTGACCCGGAAGTGTCTGCGGACAGCGCTGGCTCCCCGCCTATAGAGTGAGATGAGCGCACAACCCTAGAGTCTGTCAAGACTGGCCCGTATGGGCAGGGGTACCTTTACCTTTACCTTAAAGGTACCCCTGCCCGTACAGGCCAGTCTTGCCAGACTCTAGGGTTGTGCGCTCATCTCACTCTATAGGCGGGGAGCCAGCGCTGTCCGCAGACACTTCCGGGTCACGTGGCCAGCGTGACGAAGCTGCTCTGGCGAGCCGGCACCAGAGCAGCACACGGAAACACCGTTTACCTTCCCGCTAGAAAGCAGTCCCTATTTATCTACTTGCACCCGGGGGTGCTTTCAAACTGCTAGGTTGGCAGGCGCTGGGACCGAGCAATGGGAGCGCACCCCGCTGCGGGGATTCGAACCGCCGACCATGCGATCGGCAAGTCCTAGGCGCTGAGGTTTTACCCACAGCGCACCCGCGTATGTGCATTACCTAGAGCCTATTCTACTGATGAAGCCTAGGATGGCGAAACAAGGCTAATATTCCGGAAATCCTTGTCTGACACTCTGTGAAAGGATTTTGTGGAACTGTAACAACTCTTCATGTGGATTATTGGACTCTTTGAATAGACAGTTGGAATAGATACTTATACATGTATGGACCTTATGCATGAACTGACTAGAGAATGAACTGGTCCACTGGGTCTTCTGCTTTTTTCGTTGAACTTTATGAGACGTCTGTTGAAATCTACAAATTGATACAATGAATAGCGTACCTTATTTATTCAAAAGTACAGCCGGTTACGTCTTGTGTGTTTATGGAGTATGTTCCACGTAACCATAGGTTTGTTGTTGTTGTTTTAGTAAAGGAATATAAGGCAATCCTAAAGGAGCCAACAAGCTTCTAAGAAGATGATGGGTAATATGTAAAGGTAAAGGTACCCCTGCCCGTACGGGCCAGTCTTGACAGACTCTAGGCTTGTGCGCCCATCTCACTCAAGAGGCCGGGGGCCAGCGCTGTCCGGAGACACTTCCGGGTCACGTGGCCAGTGTGACACCGCTGCTCTGGCGAGCCAGAGCCGCACACGGAAACGCCGTTTACCTTCCCACTAGTAAGCGGTCCCTATTTATCTACTTGCACCCGGGGTGCTTTCGAACTGCTAGGTTGGCAGGCGCTGGGACCGAACAACGGGAGCGCACCCCGCTGTGGGGATTCGAACCGCCGACCTTTCGATCGGCAAGCCCTAGGCGCTGAGGCTTTTACCCACAGCGCCACCCGTGTCCCTGGGTAATATGTAGTGCCTTCCAAATGACCCTGATGTCACAAACAGCGCAAAGGAACTAATGCACACCATTGCAAGCACATTGCTCTAGATATCTCCAAAAAAGCAAGCAAAACCACCTGCTAAATGACAGGAGAAAGCCCACAGATTCAAGCGCACAGTAACACAAATCCCCATTTATTCTCCTTACCCATATCAGACATCTCTGGCACAGTAACGATGTAAGGTCCATCTGTAAATTTTGGTGCGTTGTCATTGATGTCTTGTACTTTAATGATAAACTCCGATTCAGGTTCAAGTGGCTTGTTTGTCCGTCTGTCGATGGCTTGCGCATGCAGCACATAGTGGGTCTTCTTTTCTCGGTCTAGGCTTTTGGTTGAATGGATGTCTCCCGTCGTGTCGTCAATAATAAAGATAGTCCCAGCCCCTTCACCTGTAAGGATGTATTTGACTGATCCATCACCTTTGTCAGAATTGGAATGCAGCTGAAAAAGAAAATGAAAAAAAAGGAAAGGAAAATATGCAATACATGTAATATAATACTACATTATTGTACAGGCTTGTTTGGTCGGTGAGGGAAAGCAATTGTGTCATCAGCACTGCTCAAGGGTAGGAACTGTCCAATTTTTTGCGAGGATGGGCCTCCTGAACTGAAAGCAACCCCCATTAATTTGTCAGACCATCAGAAACACAACAAAGGCAAGTTCCCTGGCAGGGCTAAGTTTTGTCCTTAGGTTAGGCTAAAAAAAGAGGTAAGCAAAGTAGCTAGATCACATAGCCTGTATGGACATACATACATCTTTCAAACATACAGTACATCTTTCAAGAGATGTATGAAAGAGATGAGCTCTTTAGAAATAGGGAATTATCCCAATGACTCCAAGCACAGATGAGCATTATTTGCGTGAGCTTACAAGTCCCTTCCCTACCAACGGACACTGCATATTGTATTGAAACTGTATGAGTGATGGATAAGCACAGTGGCTTTGAGCTCAGCTCAGCTGAGATACAAACTGGGAAGGGCCAGAGAACAGCACATACATGTCTCTCCACACCTCTCTAAGGATACAATGTTTAGACATGGACTTGTATAGAAAAGGAGGTGCATGGCAATATAAGATCACAGAAACAGGGGGGTTGAAGTGGAAGATCCTGGAAAACGACACAGTTGGCAGGATAATATCTTGAAGAGCAGAATGCCACACCAAAACCTTCCATTGTGGGTCCCACTTGTTGGTCACTAACAGTGATATAGTTCAGTACAGTGGTACCTCTGGTTACGTACTTAATTCGTTCCGGAGGTCTGTTCTTAACCTGAAACTGTTCTTAACCTGAAGCACCACTTTAGCTAATGGGGCCTCCTGTTGTCACCGCGCCATCAGGAGAAAGATTTCTGTTCTTATCCTGAAGCAAAGTTCTTAACCTGAAGCACTATTTCTGGGTTAGCAGAGTGTGTAACCTGAAGCGTATGTAACCCGAGGTACCACTGTAATACTAATGAGAAATTGTCAGAAGCAGATGTCTCTGTTTAAAGTCAACTCTTTCTATGACCCTAAGTGCTAAAATGACCCATGGATTTATTCTAGACCAATGTTTCCCAAACTTTGGTCTCCAGCTGTTTTTGAATAACAATTCCCACCATGCCTGACCACTGGTCCTGCTCTAGGGATGATGGGAGTTGTAGTTCAAAAACAGCTGGAGACCCAAGTTTAGGAAACACTGATATAGATTATGAAGCTTTGTTGTTGTCCTTACAAAAATTCTGTCCATGTAATAGGAGATCCCACACTTTGACATTACTTCTATCTTCTGGATTTTAAATGCTATGCCCCTCATTTTCCATGTGCATAGTCTTTTCCAGCTGCACAAAATTATGTGGGGAGGGGTCAGTGGTGCACCCTGGTTGGCCCTTTCAACATGTGGACCTCATTCATATGTTATATTAGACACTTTCTGACACATGAGGATAGGCTAAAAAGGCACAAGAAGAAGTAGGCAAAAGAAAGACTTTAGTACATTTAAGATAAATTCTGATAGTCTGCCTAACGTCCATTTTGTGCCATTTTCCTGCCAAGAGTTTTCCCAGATAAGAACAAAATGTTGGCCATATTAAGTCCTCAGTTCTCTGCGGGGGCTAAAGGGATCTCTGCCATTCCGGAGAAAGGTGAATGGTGTCAATTTTGTGTGATGTTTTAGCTCAAAGCCTAAGGTGTGAAATCTGTCAGAGTAATAAAATCTTTGCTACATTCCATGGCTGCAAATGCCCAAATATGCTAAAATTACCCGGGTAGCTGCTAATGGAAAACCTACATAGGGGAGAGGAGGAGAGAGAAAGAGCAAACCCCAGGCCTTGGGTTTGTAGATTGAGAACTTTTTTGTCTTTGAATGTACTTTTTCCACTCCAGTTGTAAAACAGCCGCTGAAAAACGTGTCTGAGCTACCTCTGTTCCTTTCTCCTGATAAACTTTTCTTCAGTAAAATATACCGATTTTTGTTCTTGATTTTCTGAAGGCAGTAGCCAAACTCTGAAGCAGTAAGAGATTCTGTATGACTTTTTTTTTTATATAACAAAATGATCATCTCAAGTGCTTCTCTGCATCCAAGGGTTAGCATTTTATCTTTCAATGGCGGTAAAATAGAAGGAAGATAATGTCAACAAAGGTGTTGCTATTATCAAGTTTTCACATTTTTCACCCTTTCTGCTATTTTCGGTGGGACCCAGTGGTGCTCCCACGAGCCTGCTGCTAATGTTCTGAAGCAAAAAGGAAGGGTGGTTTGAAAGCTTTCTCTCTCTTTTTGACCTCAATGAATTCATTCCAACAGCTTTGCCCTCACAAAAGAACAATGGACAGCCAGTCAAGCCATTTTCTGGTATACTTTGAAAGGGTTCTGGTGAGGGGACACATCAAAGCAGTTTCTGACCTTTTTCTTTTTTTTCTTTAAGGGTACTCACGAGCATGACTCTGTTGCTTCACTGTCTCTTTACCCATCCAACCCAAGTTACAGAATAGGGTTCTGATTTATATCCCCAGAACCACCAAATGAATCAGCTGATCCTAGAACAGGCAGAGGTTCACTTAGTTTCCTAAGTGGTGGGGTCTTGGGCTTGAATTTAAGGGAGCCAGTTGCCAAGCTGTTCTTTGGTTAGCTATCCGACCATCCCTTTAGGCTATGCTCACCACTATCACTCGCCAGTCCCACGTCAGGTAAGTAGGAAGAAGACTACCCAAAATGGTCAAAGGCCTGGAAACGATGCCTTATGATGAACGGCTAAGGGAGCTGGGCATGTTTAGCCTGGAGAAGAGGAGGTTAAGGGGTGATATGATAGCCATGTTCAAATATATAAAAGGATGTCATATAGAGGAGGGAGAAAGGTTGTTTTCTGCTGCTCCAGAGAAGCGGACACGGAGCAATGGATCCAAACTACAAGAAGATTCCACTGAAACATTAGGAAGAACTTCCTGACAGTAAGAGCTGTTCAACAGTGGAATTTGCTGCCAAGGAGTGTGGTGGAGTCTCCTTCTTTGGAGGTCTTTAAGCAGAGGCTTGACAACCATATGTCAGGAGTGCTCTGATGGTGTTTCCTGCTTGGCAGGGGGTTGGACTCGATGGCCCTTGTGGTCTATTCCAACTCTATGATTCTATGATTCTACCCTTGGAAGAATCATTTTGCTTCTCTTATTTTTCTCTGGACCATTCATTCCTCCAGCCACTTTCCCCTCTCCTCCATTTCTCTCTGATAAATCCTTTGTTCTTTCTGTGTTCCCAAGAAGCACCAGTTAGCTCATTCGGTTAGAGCAGGCTTCCTCAAACTCGCCCCTTCCAGATGTTTTGAGACTACAATTCCCATCATCCCTGACCACTGGTCCTGCTAGCTAGGGATCATGGGAGTTGTAGGCCAAAAACAACTGGGTTAGAGCATGGTGCACATCCAGGTTGCAGGTTTGATCCAGGAGCTTTCATTTCACCCCACTTATGGACTCCAGGTCCCTCTGAGTTTCCTATTGTGGAAGTCATTTGGTGTGATGTTCCCTCTGTCAGGACTCTCTGTTCACTCCAGATAGCACCCACCACCTTCTCCTCCTTTGCTTATTCTCACCCCTCACATTATGGAAGCCATGGTTTCAATTATAGCCTCACTGCCTTTCAGCCCTGCCTCCACAGTTGTGACTGCTGCCACTTCAGCTGTGGAGCAGTGCTCTACTCACGCTAGGATGGTAGTCCTCCACCCAACTGAGGCTGGCAGTGACAGCAGAGCTGGTTTCTGGGCTACTCCACTCCCATGGCAGCATGCCATGCGGTTGAGGATTCAGTGTGCATGTGCTGGTGATGCAAGTTTTCAAACAGACCACCACCACCACCATCACTAGCATTTGACAGGTAAACAATGGGCAGTGAGATGTTTAAGAGCAAAGCTACCCAAGCAAGCAGATGTGTTATGGATATGGTCTGAGAAGGCCCATACAGACTTCAATATATGACATACCACTTCTAGGGACGCAGGTGGCGCTGTGCTCTAAACCACTAAGCCTCCGTGACTTGCCAATCAGATGGTCGGTGGTTCGAATCCCCACGACGGGGTGAGTTCCCATTGCTCTGTCCCAGCTCCTGCCAACCTAGCACTTCGAAAGCACACCAGTGCAAGTAGATAAATCGGTACCGCTGTGGCGGGAAGGTAAACGGTGTTTCCATGCGCTCTGGTTTCCGTCACGGTGTTCTGTTGTGCTAGAAGCAGTTTAGTCATGCTGGCCACATGACCCGGAAAGCTGTCTGTGGACAAACGCTGGCTCCCTCAGCCTGAAAGTGATATGAGTGCCGCAACCCCATAGTCACCTTTGACTGGACTTAACCATCCAGGGGTCCTTTATCTTTTCTTTTACACTATTTCTAGAGTTACACTGGAATATGCTCCACCAACATCTATGGTCATGGCCCACTCTTCACTAGTAGCGGCCCACTGATTGACACACTACCCCCTTGATTATCCATCATTTTTCTAACAATTGCATCAGGGAGAATGCAGAGCCACACTCAGTGGCCTCCACTTCGCTACTATCCACAGATTGGCATGGGAGGGAGAAGTCAAGAGCCTGCTGTTTATCTGTAGAATACTCAAGTCATTTAGACCCCAGCACTGTCCGAGTTCCAAGTTGCATGGGGAGCCTAAGTGTATACAGCGGGCTCCCTGTGTTATTTTTCAAACACAGGGGATGGGGGCAGCAATAATACAATGGTGTGGCTGTCAGCCACAGCCTCACTCGTCTTCCCCTCACATGATGCTAATCACATGAGCCAATACTGCCAGAATAAATAATAGTCACGTCCTTAAAAGTAATTGTATATATATCAACATCCATACTGTATTTTCTTTTCTTCCTCAAAAAGTTAATAATGGAGGGTATGACCCATAAAATGGGTCTCATTTGTAAAAGGTGAAGGTAAAGGGACCCCTGACCATTAGGTCCAGTTGTGACCGACTCTGGGGTTGTGGCACTCATCTCACTTTATTGGCCGAGGGAGCCGGTGTGCAGCTTCCAGGTCATGTGGCCAGTATGACTAAGCTGCTTCTGGCAAACCAGAGCAGCACACGGAAACACTGTTAACCTTCCCACTAGAGCGGTACCTATTTATTTACTTGCACTTTGACGTACTTTCGAACTGCTAGGTTGGCAGGAGCAGGGACCAGCAATGGGAGGTCATCCCGTCGCGGGGATTCGAACCACCAACCTTCTGATCGGCAAGTCCTAGGCTCTGTGGTTTAACCCACAGAGCCACCCGCGTCCCGCACCAATTACATAGCACCAATTAATTTTGCTAGTGCTTAAATTTTTATGTAACCATTTCCATCCAGGAGGGGGAACTGGTTTACACAATTTATCAAGAATATCTTTTTGTAAGCTGTGTGGTCCTCACTAACCATGTCCGAAACTGAAGAGATTTTAGAAGCAACTTATGCTATGGCATCGGAGATGGAGTGGGCTGTTGCCTGTTCAAAGAAAAAGCCACACCAGAATTCTAGGAGGCAGGCCCACCCCCCAGGGCACATCCAGTGCATGATTCTGGTGACTATAAATCATTTTTCATTAAATGACCTGAATCAGAATCCAAGCATTAAATAAAGGCTGCAACCCTATGCACAATTACTTGGGAGGAAGCCCTACTGAACTCAGTGGGACTTACTTCTGAATAAACATTCTCAGCACTGTAGTGTATAAGAATGAAACAGAATATTTTAGTTAGTCACCAATTAAATTACACAAATGCTTTTTCTAGAACACACATACTTTTGGGACATATACACCAATAGTCTGCCTTTGTCCTTATATGTCTGAAAATTCACCTGGTCTAAAATAGCAAGAAACTGGAAAATAATAGCTTCGAAGAAAACAAAATCTGAGGTGTCCCCTTTTATCAACTCAGAGAGCTTCAGTTTTTGACATATCTAATAACAGTTTGACTTCAGAATGATTTATGATGGCTCTTCAGTCTTTAACTGCCCCTTTTCTTTAGCGCATGACTAACCTGGACAGGAGAAACAAAGCCAAGTGCTCTTTGTATTTTGCACAAAGTTCCTGGGTTTTTTCTTCTTCTTCCTTGGGTCCAATTAGTTGCCTCCGTCTATTCCCCTCTCCATTGCTGGGGGAATTCATGAAATGCAATGGTTCTTAATATAATGAAACATAGTGAGGCTTTTATAGCTGAAGCTATTGTTTGTTTGCATCCAGCACAAACTCCTTATGAGGAATATCTCCAAAATAAAGCAGGAACCTGAGCCAGGAGGGAGTGATGCATAGAGGTGCGAAGCACAGAGATGTTTTCAGGATGGTGGGGAAATT